TAAAATGTTTAAAAAAATGTATACATAAGGGAACACGTGTGCTTGATATCAATTTTGGATAATTATTAGTGTCACGTTTCTCATATTATAAGCTTTTATTGCACAATTTGAGCAAACACTTGATAATATATCTATGAACAAAAAATAACCACTAGAAGAAAGTAATTTTGAAATGGAAAATAGCTAACAATAGCACCAACACTCGAATTTTATTTATGTTATTTTATTTTTCTCACCCACTAAAATTGGAATCTCATCATACAACTAGACATTATTTTTCCAGTCATACATCTTCTTGAAATTTACTGGAGATACCGGAGGTATACCGCCAGCGAAATAAATACCATCTGGTCTAGCTTCCCAATTGCACATACCACGAAGACATTGATCCCTATTTTTGGATGTATACGCATCGAAAGCAACATTTTTATCACCCCACGTGAGATGGCAGAAGAATAAAGTGACTTCGATGTAACAAAATTTCCAGTGAAAATTGGAATTTTTAGTGATGTTGTAATATCCCAAGTCGATAGCTATGGACGCACAACGCAAAGTTAGATCTGGAAATGGAAGACTATTTACGACTTGGACCTGAATATCGTCGGTATCAGAACACCTAGCCTTATTGTTATAAGCATTGCTTTGCAAAATGTTAATGAATAGAATGATGCAATGTATGAGAATTATTTTCATTGTTCTATAAGTCATGAACATTGTTTATCTTTTACTAATGAATTGAAATTCAAGATGTTTGGTTACACCTCTTATAAACTTATTTATAGGCTAAAATAATTGAACACTTGATTCTCATCTATAAAATTGGAATTGGAATTAAAGTATATTGGCAATTTAAATTTGATGTAATAGCCATAGAGTCTTTGTGAGAGGTAGTAATTAGGATGTTTGCAATAATAGGGAAATTTGGATAGGTAAATGAGGCAAATATTATATACTTAGAACTCGTTTGGTTGCCAAAACAAAATTAACCAGAATAATATTAAATAATTTAATAAAAATCCAATTATTTTATCGGATCACGGGGCATCCAACCAAGTTGTAATGAGAAATCAAATTTAAATCTGTAATTGAGAATTGATGAAAAACAGCCAAAATGCTCAATCATCTGCTGCCAACTCAGCGCCAGCTCACCCATATCGCAATGTGGCAACACGCCAGCTGCCATGTGCGGCCAAATTCCATATTGCCACGTGTCGGCCAGCTAAATTTTTTGGATACTCAAAATTCATTACTTTAAAGCCCAAAACGAAATGCAGGTTTTTTTCTTTTGCTCCACAACTTTGTTGAATTATTTAATTTCACCTCGATGATTTTTTGTTTTAATTTTTTTGTAGGATAATTATTTTAATATGGTAAAAATTATACAAAGATAAAATTTATTTGAAAATTCCAAAAATTCAAATAAATTCCAATTAAATTTTTGAAATTTGTTCTAATTGTGATTTGTTTTTTTTTTGAATTTTCGATATTCCGAATACTACGGAGTTGGAATAGAAGTGTCATTTGATTTAAAAAAAAATGATTTTTTCGACAATTATACTATTTTTAACAAGAGCACTACAACACACAACATTTATTTATTTATAATACTATTTTTCTCACACATTAATATTTGGATCTTGTTACTATATTGTTGTATTTTCTGAATCATATATGCATCTTCGTTAAGTTCATTGGGGTAGATCGTCAGCAAAGCGAAATAAGTACAATCAATTCTCGTTTCCCAATAACATATACCATCAACAAGTCCAATACAGTAACCTCGATGTTTGAACGTATAAACATTGAAAACGATTTCAACATTATCCCACACGAAGATGAATCGATGCCCGAAGTATCAAGTGTTGCCAAGAAAACTATCAGGGTGCATTTGGATGGAGGGATTTCAAATCCATAATAACAAATCCCTCGGACTTGTTTGGATTGAGGGATTTGGAGATGGATTTCAAATCCCCACCCTTCCTTTTTAGTTGTTTTTTGAGCAATAGTGGTGGATTTCAAATGACTCCAAAATTGGAGTCATTTCAAATGCATTCCCCAAATCAAATCCCTCCCCAAATCCCCCCATCCAAATGGACCCTCACAAAATCTCCAATTAAAATCATAACTTTAAGTACTATATATTGAAATATCCAAGATCGTCACTTTTCGATTATTTGATTATTGAATTTTTGTTTCGATATCATATTTGATTATTTATGAGCTAAAAAAGGTATAATGAGAATATAAAAAAATATAAAAGATAAATAAATAAATAAGGGTTTATTAGGGATAACCCCCTTGTTCATATTTTCTAATGAGGTAGATCCAATTTTTTTTTCCCTTTTTGAGATAGACCCAATTTTGCCAACTTGGCAAAATATATTATATAATTTGCCTTTAATACCCTTGTTTTATTTTTAAAAGGCATTTATTTCCTTTACTACGTGATTTGAGATTTGCTGATACGTTGCCTAAAATCACGGAATAAAATTACGTGAGATCATTGGCCGTTATATCAAATCGTGTACAATATTTTTCGAAGGTTCTCTTCAGCGTTCCAGAGGTTTTTTATCGTCTTTGAAGATTTCTGCACCGTCGTTGAAATAGGATCGAATTTGAGCGTTCGTTGTTGGACGTTG